GTCTTTCCCGGACTTGAGCTTCCCAAGCACCCACCTTGAGGTATTTCTCCAGCATCTTCACTATGTGTCGGTTGTTCAAAACACTCTTGGCCACGTGGAGACTTGTCTTCTTGAACTGCTCAGCAGCCAGCTGCAGAGAGGGCGACGTGGGCTTTTAAACCGGTACTGAAGGTGGAAGGCCCAGCACGCTGTGCTTTGCTGTCCCCAAGTCAGCGCTGTGCTGAGGCAGCCCCCACCACCCGGGGTGCATTAGGCACCTTTCCACGTTTGCCCTGTGGCAGGCCCTGAGGGCGGGCACTCACTCGGCGGTTGTGGTTGTGGTCGGGGGAGTGGAGGTGCCGCTGCAGCAACTGGTGCTGAGCAGGGATGAGCATGTCACAGGCCAGGCAGTGGGCGGCCTCGATCCGCTTGAAGAAGTGCTCCTGGCCAATCCCTGCAAGCAGACGGGGCAGCGGGCAGTGACGCCTGCCTCCTCTTTCTCCCCGGCTAGGACCCCCTGCCCCGCCCTCCAGCCTGCGTGTCTGTCCGGGACAGCGCTCGCTCTCACTCGCCTTTGAAAGGGTCCAGCTTTGGTTTCGTGCTCTCCTTCTCCATCATCTCCTGCCGCCGCTTCTCTATCTTCTTGTTCCTGTTCACGATGTATTCCTGGGGGTGGGGTGGGGGTGACACCATGAGCGGGCAGGCTGGCACACTGGTCTATGACATGCCCCAGACGGCAGTCGCTGAGGGGGGCGTCTGGAGACCTGTGCCTCCAGGGGAAGCTTCCCTTGGGCCCATACAGGCTCCACTCCCACCCGCTGGTCCTGGAGCAGTCTGTGCAGCTTTTTCATTTTCTGGGCAAAGTGACTGACCAAGTGCAGGCCCCAGGAGGCCGCCCACCTGCAGGAACTCGACCGTCTTGTCAGGCAGCTTGGTGCTGATGAAGCGCAGCGTGTCCTTGTGGAATTTGCTCTGCAGGTGCTTCTGGAGCTCCTCTTCCTCAAAGCTGCGGAACTTGCACACCGAGCAAGCAAACTGGATCCTGGGGAAAGCGGGTCAGTGTGTGGGGAGGCGGGGTCATCGGCCACTTCCCCTCGGACTGCTGCCCTTTCCCACCGTGCCCGTGCCCGAGGATGGGGCAGAAGCCCCACAGGTGCCCAGGGTAGCTGGGTAAATAGGCAGGATGGTGATGTCCTTCAGATGTGACTGGGGCTCCTGGCAGCACCCCGCTGAGTCTCCGGGGTCACAACCTTCCTGCCCCAGCTGTCAGGAAGCCCCTCACCTGTCAGCTGCTCGGTCCCGCATCCGGTCTCTCCTCCTCTGCTTCTCCCTCCGCTTCTTCACCTCCTCATCCTCGTCATCCTTGTCATCTGTAACAGAGCGGTGCCTTTGAGATGCTGGTGGAGCCCCACGCGCCGAGCACTGATGGGGCCAGCGCCCGTCAGCCCAGCCCTCCCAGCACCGGGAGTGGGGGCCGGCCTGGGGGAGAACCCTCAGAGCTCCTGTGGGGTGTCACCTCACCCCCTTGGCCAGGCAACGGGACACGGCCCACCTGTCCTGCGACCCTCTGCCCGCTCCTTGACCTGCCCCGTTCTGCTTCTGCTCTCAGTCTAAGGCTCCGCCGTGGGTCTCGGCCCACCGTCACTTAGGAGTGCGTGGCAGCACTGGCTGAGAGAAAGGCAAGCCGCTCGCTGCCTCCAGGTGGGGCTGGCAGCTGTCCCGCTGCCTCGCTCTCAACTAGGGCGGCAAGGGCCCGAGTCCGTGCTGCCCAGCTCTACCCTCCGTGTACACACACCGCCAGTCCAGGCCTTGCCCTGGGCTGGCGGGAAGTGTTCCTGGAAATAAGAGTGGGAAAAGACCTGTAGGTCCTCCCGTCCGTGCCTGGGGCGTCCAGGGGGCCTGGCCGGGGCCGGACACTGCGGAACGGACCGAGAAGCAGCTGAACTGTGGCCCCTACCCCTGTGCCCGCTGTGGGCCTGTCCCACGACGATGGCGGCCGGGTGCGCTCTCGGGAGCCTCTCACAGGGCCTGGGGGTTTTTGGCAAGAGGCCGCTGCCTGAAACTAGGACTGCTGCTTAAGAGCAAGGTCAAGAACAAGGTCATCCTGTAGGCAGTAGGACCTGCGCACACCAGACGCATCACCTTTGCTTTAGCACTCGCCAGCGCACACACTGCTAGGCACCCGGCGTGGACCCAGGCCACTGGCGGCCGAGGCAGTGAGCGTGGCGGGCGGGGGGCTGCTAAGCCTGAAAAAACGAGAGAAGGAGAGTCTTGAGCCAGGACCTTCGGAGGTGGAGCCCAGTGGGAGCCCGTGGTGACTCTTGGGGGCCCCTCAGGAAGAGGAAGAGAAATAAGTGGCGGCTTGGGTGGGTTGGGCTGGCGGGCTGGAGGGCAGCTCCCCCACATGCTCCGAGCGCGGGTGGCTCACATGGTACTGCTGGCTCTTAGCTGGTTCTCGCAGCCCCATGCTATCATACTGCGGGCAGCCAGGAGTGTGTGGGGCCACAACCGAGATAACAGCACAGAGCCTGGGCAGCGGCAGCAGGCCTCCTCCCACGCACACTCCTGAGAACTCCTTTGCTGGCACTGTGAACTGCCAGACACCAAGGCAGGCCCTTCTGCTGGTACAGAGCCGTCCAGCTGGTGCCCCTCCCAGACTGGAGCAGAGCCTCAGGATGCACCCCCATGCCTGTTCAGCTCCAGGCCTGCTGGGGGCTCCTGGGTGGTGGGTGTGGGCTAAATGGGCAGGCAGGAAGTCAAGAGGGGAGGTGCCTCGAATGGGTTGCCTACCTCTCTGCTTCCCAGGCTCACCGAACTCATCCTCCTAGAAAAAGAGCACACAAAGCCAGGCACGTGAGGAGTACCTTCCAAAATGCTCCACGGCCAGCTCAGCTCCCCGCTAGCCCAATGCCAGACCACCCCTCAGGGACTGGCGGTTGTGTGTCCCAGCACCACCCCGCTGCCACTGGAAACTGGTGATAAATGACTTTGTCACATGTCACGGACCCTCTTCTAGAAATCACAATCTAAGGCACTGTCCCTGCCATTTTGCAGCTGCCTAAGTCTGGCCACCCAGGAAGTGTGGGGGTGGAGGTGACAGACAAGCAAGGGAAGGGGTGGGAACGAGCCACTGGGACACAAAAACCCTGCTGCTGGGCTCCACCACAGAACATCTTGAGAAAGCAGCCCGCCACCCGGCACCTGGCCTGGCCAGGGCTCAGGGATTCTGGGCTAGCCAGCCTCTCAGCCAAGTGGAGAACTGACTGCTCTGGCTCCTATCTCCCCTAAACTACTTGCCTTGAGGGCCCCGTGACCAGCCTGGGGCTGCACACGTAAACGTGGAACAGCACTTTGCACAGGGCTGGGGGCTGGCCAGCCCCATCACGGAGGGCTGGCATCTGGCTGCCAGGGGGGCTAGCCCACCCTCCCCAGGATGGAGCGGAGCACGACACCAAAGCCACCCTTAACCCTCGCAAGGACGGACTCTGAAGAAACCCCACAGTGGAGACAGAGACTGACTTACACCCCTGAGATCTTCGTCTCCTGACCGGAAGTCGCCTGCTCCATCATCTGCCAGACACGAAGAAAGGGATGTCAGCCTGCATCCAGTGGCCCACTGCGGCACCCTCTCTGCCTGGCTCCACTCCCTGCAGGGAAACCCATCTGCCAGGACAGGTGGCAGATGCCGCCATACCCTCCCCAGCTCCAGGCATACCGTTGTCGGAGAAGTCTCCGTCGCTGTCTGGCCTGGGCTGCTTGGCGTCAGGCTCCTCAGAAGTCTGTAGCAACCGCCGCTTCCGGGCAGGGCCATCGGGGCCACAGCGCTCAAACCCTCGCCACCGGGGCTGCAACACAAATCCACACCCACCCATTTGCCAACTGCTGAGGCACACCGAGGCTGAAAGGAACGGTTACTGGGCCAGAGGGAAGACGCCGAAGTCTTTCCAAAAAGAAAAGGCAACAGAAGAGAAACCCAAAAACAGGGCATCAGACCAAGACCAAGACCAAGAGAAGCAGGCACCAGGGACCACAAAGGAAGTGGTCCCACTGACACAAAGGGTGCCCACGGGACAGAGAGCCAGGGTCCAGGGCTGGTGGCGACCACAACTACAACGAGACAGCAGCTGCTCCTTCGGGGTGATGGGAACACCTAAAACTCAGACTGTGGTGATGGTCGCACACTTAAAGTTCCAGGAAGTCACTGCCGTGACCACTTCCAACTAGCGAGTTAGGTAGGTGGCACATCTATGTTGTATCAATGAAGAGTCCAACCCCGCACTAGCTGCTGCCAGGGCGACTCTGACTCCCAGTGACCCCAGGCATTACAGTAAACCACTTCACGGGACTTTCAAGGTTGGTTGTGACCTCTCGGAAACAAGTTGTCAGGCCTTTCCCCTGAGGTGCCTCTAGGTTGGGTGTGAACCTCCAGCCTTGCAATCAGTAGTCAAACCAACTGTTTTTGCCCCTTTCCCTCAACTGAGCTGCGTTGGGCATGAAGAGGGCTTACCCGGTCCCTGATCCGGGGCTGTGCGTGGCCACAGCCGTAGGGCATGGTGTTGTTGAAGCTGCCCGCCCCCTGCATGCCCATCATGCTATAGTCGGGGGCCAGGGACTGGGAGAAGAGAGCCGACGGTGGCGGTGGTGGAGGCCTGTTGGGGGAGGGACCTCCCAGGCCCCTGCCAGCCCCATAGTTCAGCTCGCCCCAGGAAGCAGACAGCGGCTCCGTGGAGGCCTGGGGCTGTGGCAAGAAGGGCTCACTGCGCAGGAAGGTGCCAGGGCTGCCTCGGTCCTGGAAGCGGCCCTGGCCCCGGCCCCGCACAAAGCTGTCGAGGGCACCCCGCTCACGGCCTGGGTCCCGGGGGTCGCCGTACTGGCTGCCGAAGCCGCCGTTGCGGTCTGTGCCCAGGTCGTAGTCATAGCCGTAGCCAGAGTTGTAGGGGTTGTTGTGGTCAGGCAGGCAGGCCCTGGAGTCATAGGACTCAAAGGGCTGGAAGCGGAAGGAGCTGTGGGGCAAACAGGATGCTCAGGGGCTGCACGGACACCAGGACATGGACCCCATGTACCCCACGTCCTCAGCAGAGCCCTCTGCAAAGCCCGCCCCCCTACCCCCAAATCTGCTAACAAACCACCCATTTCTGCTGATAGGCTGAAGGGACTCAGTCACCGAGCTGGTGGAAGCCGGCGCAGAAGCAAGGAGTCAGGTGGGTCCGACAGCAGCCAGGGAGGGCCTGGCCATACTCACCTCTCTCGGTCCTGTGTGCCCTCCCCACTGCCGCCGCTGCCCCGGCTCCCTTCCTTGGACAGCATGTCCAGGCGCTGGTTGATCTTGGCGATGAGGCTGTCAGAGTTGTCGGAGCCTGGGTCCTGGCCCGGGCCGTAGGAGGCCATGTGCATGGTGGGGCCGCCAGTGGCCAGGCCCCCATCGCTGGCTTTAGCAGCTTCCCAGGAAGGCGGGCCATAGTTATATGTGGCTCCGGCGCTCACCGTGGAGTTCTGGGACCCGTAGTAATTGTAGTTCTCATAACCTGGCAGGGACGAGGGCTGCGTCAGGTAGCCACAGAAGCCAAGGTGTCCTAGCCCCAGGAAGCCAAGGCCGCCCTCAGGGAGGAAGGGCAGTCCCAGGTCTGGGTGTTGGTCTCCAGCCAGGCAGGACCACGACAGTGTTGCTGCTGCTCCCATGACCCCTACCCACTCTCCTCACTCAGAATTCGCAAACTCGCCCACCTTCAGGAGCTGCAAGCCCAGTGAGGGCAGGCCCCAGAGCCCCCTCACCCAACTGTCCCGAGGCTCCCAGAGGCCAAAAGGGCCAGCCTGCTCTAATACCCAGAAGTGCCTGCCCTGCAGAAGCGGATGAGAGGACCTGGCCACCCGCCCCGACCCCGAGCAGGGCCTACCTTGCCAGCTGGCCACACCAGCTCCATAGGCACCTTGGAAGAAACAAACATACATGAGCTCTGTCCCCAGAACACAGGCGCCCACCCCTGGGCCTGGGCACTGAAGGCAGTGAGAGGTGCTTTGCCCTCTGCAGACCCTGGGGGACAAGGCAGTGGGTTGTCCACCCAGCGTGGTCAGAAAACCTAAGTCCATTAGCACACGTGTTCCCGCAGGACACCTGGAAAGTGTAGCTAAGTCTTTTCTCCCAGCCAAGCCCGACCCTGCCATCACAGCAAAGAAGGAACTTGTGCTTTCCAAAAAGCCCACCTGTGCAGCCCAGCCCAGCCCAGCCCAGCCATCTGCCAAGGGCACACTGAGGTCGTTGCAAGAAACCAGACCCCAACTCAACCAGGCAAGTGGAAGTTGGGACCAGAAGTCGCTAGGGAGGCCCTCTCCTTGGCCCTGGGGGAACAGAAGAGACCCACCATGCCCTGAAGGCAAGCTCCAGGCTCAGAGGGGAGGATTGGCACCCCAAGGCCACAACGAAAAGCAACTGCTAAGCTAAGCCGACGACTTCGCAATTAGCAGATCAACCGGTCTCCACTGCGCCACCAGGGCAGATACCAGACACCCTCATCCCCACACCCAGTCTGGTGCCGCAGCAGGGTGGGATCTACTCCCTCAGGCAGGCAATGGAGAATGGCTTCACGTGTTAATAGGGCTTGTAAAGCCATCCCAAAAGAACACTGCATGACACATAAATGTTGGCACAAAACATGCCACTCACCGAGGAAAGCAATACAACTTTGCCAAAATGTTGGGGATAGAAGTTCTGCTTTGCAAACCTGGTTAGACCAGAGGATGCACAGAGGTACAGATGGGAACTGGAAACACAGGGAATCTAGGACAGATGAACCCCTCAGGATCAGCGGTGAGAGTGGCGATACCAGGATGGAAGGAGGGTTAGAAAGGGGGAATCGATGACAAGGATCTACATATAAACACTTCTCTGGGGGATGAGCAACAGAAGGCTGGGTGCAGGGAGACGCCGGGCAGTGTAAGATAAAATAATAATTTATAAATTATTAAAGGTTCATGAGGGAGGCGGGAGCGGGGAGGGGAAAAAGAGAAGCTAATTCCAGGAACCCAAGCAGAGGGCGAATTTTGAGAATGATGAGGGCAACAAATATATGTGTGCTTTACACAATTGATGTATGTATGGATTGTAATGAGTTGTATGAGCCCCAAATAAAATGATTTTTAAAAAAAGTTGGGGATAGAAATAAGCTAGGACCTAGACCTCCAGGAGAAACAGGTGCCAGGACGTGACTAGATACATGCACGCCCAGGCCCATCGCCGTGCTCTTCCCAACAGCAGAGAGGGGAACTGCCTGAATGCCCTCCTCCGAGAGAGAAATGAGAAGCAGGCTCTAGCGTGTACCCACCACCGCTGAGCAGGCAGCGTTCAAGGGCAACGATGGTGCTGGGAAACCCTTCACAGCACATGGACCTTACGCTAACTGACATGAGCCAAGCACACAGGGCCCAGTATTGTACAAGACCACTCTTGAAAGACAAGGGATAACTTGGATGGAGGGGAAGGCAATGTACTTGTAAAAGTTAGGAAAACTGGAGGCAGGGGAAGACACGGGGTTGTAAGCTTTAAAGGCAATGGAGGCAAATACCATCAGACACACAATCCTGCAGCAGTGGGGACCGGCGAGTGGATGCTGGGACACACTCACAGGCTGGACAGGTACAGGAGTGTACCCTTAAATATACCGGTTTGATAGAAGATATCTGTATATCCACCTTTACCACACACATGTCCAGGAGTGAAGTGGGACATACAGGGAGAAATTAGGACGATTTCTGAGACATAAGCGAACTCCTGGGCCTGCGGGAGTCTCAGGGGCCACAAAGGCCAACGGGCATGACACAGCTCGTCAAGACAGGGGCTTACATCCTGCTCTGGTAAGCAGCCACTTATATGGTCTCTCCCCCTGGAGGGGAGCTCGCCGAAGACCAAATTGACTGCCCAAATCCCAGTCTCCACAACCCCGAGACCAGAACCAGATGGTGCCCGGCTGCCACTGCCAACCGCCACTTTTAGACCACGTTAGGAGGTCCTGCACAAAGTGGGAAATAAACATGACACAGAGTTCAAAATCACAAGAGAATCAGCTTACTGGCCAGATACAGACTGGTGATCCTTCCCTTTCTGGTCTGAAGCAGAACTCAAAGGGCTGTTAAATTCATGGACCATGGTGAGGTCAAAGGGCGGCACTGACCCACAGGTGAGGAAAAGAGGAATGTGGACAGGAGACACAGATGGGGAGGCAATGGGGTAAATCATGGTGAACCCAGAGGATACGTAAGGAAGAGATGAACAGAAAAAAAGTGGGATTGTCAAAAGTCAAACTAGGGGCTGCTCTGTAAACCTCTCCCTCACCTAATTCACAAGAAGAGGTAAACCCAGGCTCCGAGCAGATCAGTGCTAACTAGAGGCAGGCGGGGGTGGCTGGGGCTCTTAGCTTGGGGACAAGTTTTTGTTCCGAGAGGGAAAAGGAGAACTGGATAGTGGTGGTCAATGAACATGATCAACAGAACAATGTCCAGACCCTAGAACGAAACACTGGCCCCGTGCTAGATTTGTCAGTGTTACTGTATTTGAACTAATGTCGCAGCCATGGTGTCCACCTTCTTGAGGGTCTTCCTCTTTTTCGCTGACCCTCTGTTTTACCAAGCGTGATGTCCCCCTCTTAGGGCTGGTCCCTTCAGTGGACATGCTCAAAGGACCCTAGGCAAAGTCTCAAGCCTCACTATCCTGGACTTTAAGAATCAGTCTTCCAAGGCATATTCATTCGTTCTTCTGGCAGTCTGTGGTACACTCAATTCTCGTCACCCATAGTTCAAACGCACCAGTTTTTACTCGTTGCCCAGCTTTCTAACGCACACCAGGGGATTGAAAATACCAAGGTGAGTTGGGTCAGGTGCACCTTAGGCCTCCAGGTGAGGCCTTTTCCTTTGCAGACTGGCCTAATACAACAGTGTTTGAGTTCTTCACTGATACTTCCTGGGGCGATTATTACTGAGCCAAGGAAAATGAAAACTTTGACAACTTCTGGCCTCTCTCCACTGGGGAGGCCTGGTGGGTAGTGAGTGGTTCCACATTGGGCT